TGACAAGTTCTCGCTAAGTCATGCCAGCAAAGCTGACCAATCGCGTACATGGCTGTGCGACCTAAGAAATTTTTCCTTTATTTTTGTGCGTGGGGGCTAACGGGTCTCCCAGTTGAACAATGGAAAAAGCACATATATACAATCGCTTTCGCGTTACTTATTCGATCGAAAGAATTCGATTGAAGAATGTTCGTCGCGACTGTTTTGTAGGTCGTTATACGTCTGGCAGCTTTTGTACATTAATAGTGCCATTAGATTTACACGGCTCTGTACGCAGAGAAAAAAAATATATTCTCGGATAACGCAATGCTGTACAACGGCTGAGATGTACACGCTGTTCGAGATTTATGCTGGCGATTTCAGGATTGCGGATCTGCTGTAATGAGATTAGGCTCCATGTTTTCTTTTCCAAAATTATTACGCGACGTATTACGTAAAGTTTTTGCCACCAAGAATAAATTTACATGAACTTGATACAGGGATTGTTTTAATTGTTTTAATTAGTATAATAATCCGTTTCACTGCTTTGTTTCTGGTAGGATTACATTATCTAAGTTCGACTCCGTGCACTCGAAGAGTTCACAATTTTACTGTGTATTGAAGATTTTCTGAAGTCGATTAAACTAAGAAAACCATTGATGATTTTTTCAGACTGACGTATGAGTTGTTAAATGATATCGATCGATACCTGCAAGCGAAGCCGTTTCATTTAGATAAAAACAACCTACGAAGAATCGACCAAACCTCATTTAATTCTTGCGCATGATGACGATTTCGAAATAGTGTTTTGCGACGAACAAAATTGCTATATCCAACATTATTATTCGACGTTATACGACTGCATACATCGGAGAATCGAAAAGAATAATCCTCGGCGAAATGTACGTGACGACAGATCCTTGTAAAGATGCTATAGTTTTATTCGCTCAATCCGATACACTTGAATCGGAAACAGAAAAAGTTTATACAGCAGTTGTGGGATTGGGTGAATATTAAAGGCGACTTTTACTGGTGACTGCATAACGGAAAAAGCTAATTCAACGGTATTCACGGACGGTATTCAAGGAACATTGCGTTTGGCATTTGAAAATTATGTTAGTGAGGTGAATTTCACCTGCAACCGAGAGGATGACAGTATTTTGTTGGTAAGAACTACTAGGGATCGTCATGAGAATAGCCGTGCTGTTATCGGTGAAGGCCACGTGAACGGCAAATGTAAGAGACTTGTAGAAGTTGACATTTACGACATTCCCTTAAGATACTAATAGTCGATCGTCAAACGTGACACTTATTGTTTCTCTTATATCGGGGAAAACCAACAAGATTCCAATTATAGTATTGTAGAAGAAACCCACTAACAGTTCGCTACTCTTCTAACAGCAGATGTGTGAAAGCTCAGTCTGGAGAGAATCTAGAATTCTTTGACTGACTGAGACAGATATGGCAAGTAAAAATTTTGTTGTTTTTATCGTACACGTGAAAACCGTTGTAATGAAATTAAATTGAACTGCGCATTAAATATCATAAGGATCGATTAGATTCAGCAGATTGCTTCGCTTAATTGAATAAATACCTGCTAATTACAATGCACGCGCGTCTCTCGAATCATTAATGCGCTCTGCTTTCTCCCTCTCTCTCTCTCTCTCTCTCTCTGTGCCAACGGTTGCGGCATTTATGCACGTCCGCATAGCATGCATCGCATCGGTGCAACGGTGATGTGTATCTCGCGTAGCTCATCGGAATTTTTTTCGTCGCTCATCAATCTTGTTGCACATAAAATAAATAGAATGCATTTATACATTTTACTCTAAGCCATTGAATAAGGGAAAAAGAATAAAGTTTCGTCATTACATACGTGACTTATGCTGACAATACTTTCATCGATGCCAATGCTTCGCTTTGAGAAAACAAAAAATAAAAAGGCCGGTATTCGTGTCGTATGCAGTACTACGTTGTTGGGCAACTGCACAAAAGTGCAGCGATCCTTTCGAAAATCCCATCCTTACTCTGAGAGAGAGAGAGAGAGAGAGAGAGAGAGAGAGAGAGAGAGAGAGAGAGAGAGAGAGAGAGAGAGAGAGAGAGAGAGAGAGAGAGAGAGAGAGAGAGAGAGAGAGAGAGAGAGAGAGAGAGAGAGAGAGAGAGAGAGAGAGAGAGAGAGAGAGAGAGAGAAAGAACTTGAAAGTTGACTTGATTAAGTGATTTTTAAGGGGCAGCAAACGTAATCTCGAGCCGACGATTTCGTTTGGAATAATAATTGCTACTTCGGGCAGAGGATTAATCGTGACTTGTTATTTAATGAACGAATTTTTTTAAGTCTTTCAGAAGGGCCTTTTTCGTCGATATTAATTATTCTTGACATCGCGATAAATGTTTCGGAGGATTTTTTTCAAAGTCGCAAATCAAATTTTTTTTTCAATGATTGAATGCTTAATGAATATGGAACTGTGATGCAATGGTAGCGGATGAAATGAAGTGAGGCGTGAAAAATTTCTGTAGAATAGATAAATGATTTTTTTTATAGTGACACTGTTTCATGACAAAAAAGTATTGTAGACGACACCTTGACTGTTCTCTAAAAGAATTTCAGAATGATATACAAGTATAGTAGTAAGGCCCATCGTGATGTTGAATTTTTGTTATCCAAAACATTGGCATTCCGATGAGAAAAAATGAAAAAGAATATGTCGTGCGGCTGCATTGCAAATTCTCGAATAGTCGCATGCGTAGCCAGCAGGTAAACAAAACGCACGGCCACATTTTAATATCGCAGCGTGGCGGGTAAAACCATAACTCACAGCTAATCCGATAGGCCGATCAAACGGTCGCGATGATCGCTCCATTACGTGCGAGCAGCGCACGGCGTTCGCGTGCCAAACCGCTCGCGGAAATTTTCACGTCTGGACCCTGGCTGGCACTCTTTTTTCTCAGTTTCGGTTAGGTAATACGAGCGCGCGCACGAGGCCCCGCACAATGTGCTTCACAAAAATTGCCCCTCGAGTTTATATGCCAGCAAGATTGATCATCGTACATTTTTTCACGTCCCACAGCTAAATGGAATTCGCCGAGTCGCGCTTTAATAAATAGTGTTGAGGTAGATGTTTACAAGTAAAACTTACGGATTCGAGTATGCAAGTGGAGTACACATATTTTATGTTGCCGATCACGTTTTTTCGTATCGTCGAAAAGACAAAAAAGAGAGAGAAAGAGAGACAGAGAGGGAGAAGTGGTCCAAGATATATCGGCCTCATAAGCATAATTTTGCAAGCGCGTCTATTTCTTCACCTCGCTACCGTCGTCGTCGTCGTCGTCGTTGTTGGCGTCTGTCAAGTGCTCTGAGCGCAAACAATGCGGTTTTCGCCATAAACGCCCGATCACGTATTTCCTGACCAGCGGTATGGAGTACGTCATATTCAGTTCAACCCGGGGAGTCGATATAAATCACCAATCGGCATCCCAAGCGTTCACGCCGAAATGTTGTTTTTACTATGTACAGACAGTGCAATGTACTTACGATTTTCGGATTATCCAGTTTGGTTAGAATTCGTTTTTTTTACTTGGTATAAACTGCTGCTTTTATTGCTTCCTTGAAGACGAAGCTTTATATTTTAGTCACGATGAATGAAAATATTTTGTATAATGTATATTTTTTAATTTTGTGAGCAAATTGCAGTATGAACTTCACGTTTAAGAACAGAGAAATCATCCAAGATGTTTTTCAATCCACCCAAATAATTATTTATTTATTTGTTTTCTTTTTTTTCTATTAACGGTTTTTTATCTAAGATATTACCTATTTTTTTTCAAGAAATTCGATACAACGTCTTAAATTCTTGAAACACGGATATATTTTTATTTGACGTCATATATACCCACATTTTCAAATTTACGTCGAAATCGATCTCTCACTGGTCTAGTGCCAGGAAGGCATAGGTATTTCCAATTGATACTCAGAGTCGTAGCCATTAAAAAATAATGCAGCCAGATCTTTATTCCTTGACGTCTTCTAGAAACAACTTGTCTTTACTGAGCGGTGGATTTCGAAAATTGGACCGTGGTTCGAGTTAATAGCGTAGATGGAAAATCGAAATTGAAATAAATTGATAGCTTATAATAGAGGTTGGGTAGCAGATTGAAAACGCGCGCTCTCATGTGAAGTTTCTCAACAAAATTAAGCCGTGTAGCGCAGAAGAAAGTCACGAGCATGAATAAGCTTGATTAAAATACAATAAGCATGTACGAAAAACCAGCCGCTCTCTTGCGCTTGGGAGTACGTGATTTAGCAAGTGCTTTAGTTGAATGCTTTTGGCAACCGAAAAAACTTGAACGTATACAATGTTGTTTTGAAATGAGCTCCAAATTTTATTCCACTCAAGGTTATTATTTAAAACTCGTATTTCACTCAATAATCAAAAACTGATAGTGCTTAGAAATGCAAATAATATTGAAAATGTTGATAGTAGGTGCTGACAAAAAATGAAAGATCGAAAACAGTTAAAATTCAATTAAAAATTCATGGAATGTTCAAACCAGCTGAAACGAATAATTTAAATTTACTGAATTACTACGCGAGGAGCTCAAGTGTAAACAAATAACATTAACAAAATTGAAATCACATCACTTCATAAGTACACGAAGATTTTGGTATTCATGAAAGTTTATAGGCCTAAAATCCTATTTTTCTATAAAATACCGTGGACGATTTCGAGAAATGCAGTGGTAGAACCATTTAAATTATTGAAATTAAAGAAACTTAAATCCAATTTTCGCAATAAAAGAATTAATTGTCTGCTAAAAGATAAGAATGAGTATACAGAGGCTCTGAAAAGGACCTCATCACCCATTCGCCATATAAATGTCTCCCCCCCTGTGTGAACGTTGCGGCGGCGGCGTTAGCGTGCGCGGCGCTGCGGATGAGGCCGAGTGAGCGAGCGAGCGAGCGAGAGCGCCGTATAAAACCAGTGAAAGCTGCTGCCGGCCCTCCAGACTGGCTGAGCGCAGTCTGTCAGTAAGGAGCCGTCTCCGACAGCGTCGTTTTTGTACTTATCACTCTGTACACACACCTCCACAACTGACTTTTGCCGGCGAGTTTTCTTTTCGCGCGTGCTACGAAACATCAAAGTGCACACAATCCGGGCTCGAGAACAAAAGTGATTGACCTTGGTTCCCTACATTTTTTATCGCGTTCTTTTTTTCTGTGAATCAAAAAAATGCACATCAACATGAAGAAGATCATGGTGGTGCAGTTATTGACCCTAGCACTCTTCGCTTTCATGAGCTTCGACCAAGTGACCGGTTACCCGCAGGATCGACTCATGCCAGGTGAGTCTTCTTTTTTCACCATAAATACGATCTGGTTCTTGTGCGTTGTTGTTTATTGAGTGCCTCCTTGTATCGAACTTTTTGTTTTCATAAAATATTTGCATTGTTTATCATAATTTTCATGATTTTTTGTCCTGAAAAACTAGTTTGTAAAATATTTCAAAAATATTTGCGTATCACGTAATTAAAAAAAATGTTTACTCAATAATTAGAAGCCCGAATAAAAAATTTAAGAAAATGATAGAAATTAACATTAAATTGTATTTACGCACAAATTTTTTCATTATATATTAACAATGGTTATAGAACATTTTTATGAATTAGCAATAACAAAATCTTTTTCATAATAATTTTGTTTTGTTGATACTTAAGGATTCATTTAATAAATTGTCATATTTTATTCATTATTTCAATAAGTTTATTCACCAATTAGTTGAATATTGAAAATCGAAGAAAAAAATTTAAAATATTTAGCGCTAACAATTGTTTTAATACTATAACTAAGAGAAAAAAATGTATATCTATGGTAGTGCTTTTATATTTCAAAGAATTAATATGATTATATTATAAAGTTTAATGTAATACAAAATTTTAAAGCGGTTTTGTATCATTAACGTACGTTTAGGTAAAAGAAAACATCTGATTTTATTAATTTATCTGGATTTTTTTATAAAAAAAATAAAAAACAACGACCATCAAAATAGTGATAATCTAGTGCCAGTCCCTCAATGCATCTTTGAAAATTCTACCTATAATTTTGATTTTGAGAATACAAGAATTATTATTGATAAACAATACCATTTTATAAAAAGACGGATATCTGAAATGTTATGTATTAAATCGAACATAAACACATTGAACAATCATGAAGGTACGAAATTCTTAAGTACCCAATGTAAAAGACTAATTCCATACATAAATAATAATATAAGTAATCATCTCTAGTTATCCATAATACCAAAGAAGCTCGGCATATTGTAGTCTTATATAGATGTAATACGTAAATTTTCTTGACTTATCTATATTTATAATTGGTTATCTACATTTACAATGTACACACAATGATTATTATAATGTTTGACAGTGTTAATAAAATACTAGTCTATTGTAAACGAAACATATATGACGAAAAAAGTATTATGGACAAGACAGTTGTGATTACTGTAAGTCTTGAAAGGTGCATGTTATATATTGCCATTGTGTTATTTAATTGATGTATTTAATAAATTAGAGTTCCTGATGAGGCTGACAATAATAACAGTGAAATGTTGCACAAAAAACGGATGAGTGTTTAATTATTCCCGAGGGCTGACCTTTTATATCGTTATTTAATTATCAGTAGTTCTTGAAAGGTGAAAGTATAGATATGAGTACATATTTTTAAATAAAAAAAAAACTCGCAACGCTTTATACACATTATAGATCTGAGAAAGAGGATTAATGTATAATTTAGCTATAACAAATATATATAAACTTGAGCTGAGCTCATAAGTTATATAAAATTAGATAAACAAAGCAAGAAAAATATATTAATTGACAAATAATAACAGATTTAAGCATTTTCTGCAGTATATTTTAGAACTCATTAGTAGCTTTTAAGTTATTAAATCATATTTGCTCGAGAGCACGTAGAATATTTAACGGGAATTTCCGGCTGTGAAAACTGATTTTGCTTCCAAGCCTGTAATGCGAGCGCGACTAATAACCAAAGATTTTTCAGCGATGAAATTCTCTCTCCTCGGAAATTAATCTCCGACATCGGGGAATTTGTTTCACGTACGATACGGTCGAATCTTGCGGGCGTTACACGATGACCGACTAAAGTTCACGGCTTCGCGCTTTTACACAACGTCAGCTTCTTTTATCCGAGCGACCGATCGCAACACCGCCCGGATTATCATGGGATGCAATGAAAAAAAAAGAGTTATGCAAACAATGACAGTCAGCGTTCAATTATAAAGCGCTAGACGGCAGAAAGTTTGAGTGATTTTCTCTCTCGGTCTGATTTATGTTGCGCCGCTCTCGCGCGAGGGATAAGCTTTTGTACAATGTGCGCTCGCTAGATACGCTATTGCGCGGAAATCATGCGGGTATGTTGAGTTATTGGTTTCGCGCGGTGCAGAGTGCCGATGACAATCTTACGCGATGCTTTAGTGTTATTGTTAATGCTTGTTATTTGTTTCGATAGTTGGCATATCGGAATATTTCCGCGATGGCTGCTCATAGATTGAACTATTTATTGCCTCTCTGAATATCGCGTGCAGTCGCTCTTTCTCTAGCCGTATAGAAAGCGAAATGTTTTTTCGCGTGCGAATCCGTGGTCACGGTGACACCAAAACTATCGGCATGTCGATCTCCGTCTAGAAAACCGCAAAGGAACAAGGAGCACAAAAAAATTTGACTTAGAAAACTGGAGCATTGCTAAAGAGCGATAAGGATTCCGCCAGCGCGAAAAACGAAAGTACGGTCCACTTTCCTTCTCTCTCTCTCTCTCTCTCTCTCTCTCTCTCTCTCTCTCTCTCTCTCTCTCTCTCTCTCTCTCTCTCTCTCTCTCTCTCTCTCTCTCTCTCTCTCTCTCTGGCGCGCCGCAGATGTTGCCGTGCGATAAAACTGGTCATCGGACGCGTTAGATTTGACGACCGCCCCGCTCAACATGCGTAAAAGCACACGATAAATGTGGAATGAAAGTTGCCCAATTGCGTTCGGCTCAAATGAAAGATTTCTAAAATAAAAAGGGCGAGCAGATAAAGCACGCGCGTGCGATTAATGATTTCCAGCGTGAAAGTCCAAATGAATATAATCGTGCTGTTTATTAAAATTAAATTTACTGCACCAGCTGCTGACTTCTAAAGCTCTACGCGCTAATTACACGCCATTATCACGGAGTATCAATGCGATAGAGTTTTTTTTTTTCATTATAAAGTCAATTGTATGAATTCTGCGAGTACATGCCCTGAAAAGGCAGCTTTGACCTTGTTTTCATCCATCGAGAGAGGGATGTACGCAATCAGACAAAAATCGAACATGACACGAAAAGTGTCGCACACGTCAATACTCGATGATTTGCAATAATGATTCTCTTCCTCTCGCGTGACTTATCCATATCACGGACATTCGGTCATTCGGTATAATGAAATCGAACTGGCGAAATATGACGTCGATATCGCGCAACGTTTCTCCCAATTAGAAGTGTCGGAAAGTTCGTGTTTACTAATTACAAAAATAAGCCGATTCGGTAAAAATGAATCGCGAGAGAGAGAGAGAGAGAAAAGTCGGTCGGTCGGCAACCAATGGAGCGCGTTTATTGAGCTATCACGCTTGGGAGGCTCGTTAACGTGAAATTGGGATAATTGCTGTGGCGGCGGCGTAATTGAAACTTCGTTACCCGGCGCGCGGAATTGTTGTTTTGAATACTGGCCATGTGTGTCGATACGCGTGCTGTAATAAGTCAATATCACACAAGATCTTTATAGGGGAGTCGAACGTATACCATACATGTAGTGAAAAATCGAAGCGGATTTGGTGGCCTTTTACACGCACGATTACTATCGGCTTATACATCTAAATGCTCATATTCGAGGATTTATTGCTTGTTGCGTTCGCCGCTGCCGTTGTCGATCGATCCGGAAAATAATTGCAACAATACGTGTGCCGACGCACAATAATATTTCGCAAACGGCGAAACGAATGCGAATGCTTGTCCGTAGCGATGCGCGTTTACGCGAAAATCTGATCTCCGGTGCAGCGTAATTAAGCTCATGATAATTCCGATAATTATAGCCACGTGCAAGGGGACACGCGCGTCTACCATCGAACGGCGCAAGAACAATTACACGGGAGATCCGCGATAGCTCGGCGCGCTATGTACGCGAATGCGCAGAGTGAATTTCGAAACGCTGCGCGTATACGTACGTGCACGCCGCACGAGACCATGTGTTTGCCGTTTGCCGAAAAATCGCGCGCGGCGTCGTTGGTTAATTTGATCTCTGTGAGCGCGCTGTGGGCATACATCGAGCGCGCGAGAATCAATTTTTTTAGATACATGTCGATCGCGGAATAAACGCCGGTAAAACCTCTGAGATACATGCAAACATTTTCTCGAAGGATGACATGGAGAGGGAGAGGAAGGACGATATCTCGCTTTCAAGATGCACGTACTTTCTCTTTCGTCCATAGACAGCTGTTGTATGAGATTTCTGTAACAACTTTAGACACTCGCAAGAGAAGATGATGAATTACCGTTGCACTGCGTACGAGTCATAGTATTCTATTGTGTGCTTTGCAAGTAGAAACCTTCAAGTTGGTCCAACGCGCATAACGGGGTAATTGCTATTATTTTTGCGCGTGAAATTTCAAATTTACGTGAAATACTTTGAAAATCAAGGCATATAAATGAGGTTATAATTGGAAACAAATTTTCGCGCATAAATAAATTAAAAGCAAAGCTTTTATATAATTACCAAGACGTAACACAAATAACTGAGTTAGTCAATTACCCATGGCATTCCGAACAAAATGAAGCTACGTGTGACAAACAAGAAGCTCCATATAGATCCGCGCGCTGTCATCATTGCTTATCCGTGCATCGAGCTCACTTTGAGGAGAAGCCGGTTCAACGGCGTCGTGTCGACGGTCGCGTCAAGCTGTCAATTAGCCGATTCGTTCATCTCTCTCTCTCTCTCTCTCTCTCTCTCTCTCTCTCTCTCTCTCTCTCTCTCTCTCTCTCTTTCTCTCTCTCTCGTGTGTACTTACGCGTCACTGGTGTGTGGCCTTGATTTTATACTTCTACGCTTCTCTCTGACTACTTTTTTGCCGGCATGTCCAAGGAAATGAACTCTGTGCAAGTGTGAGAGACGAGTTTAATTGTCGTCTTTTGTCTAGCCGTTTTACAAAGACCTGCTATTAGTTGGCGTTTATACTGCTGTTATTGTAGTTGCAACGAGTTTTACGATGGTTTAACGTTGCAATTGTCCGTATAATTGTTAAATATGAAGTTTATC